AATCCGGAAACCATAGAGGGAAGGAAGAACATAAACCTTCCCTCTATGGTTTTCATTAATTACTATGTAGAACCTGTAATGTGAGCGTACGTACATATTGAAAATTCAATCGCTTTTCGAGAATGCGTTGATTCCAACAAATGGTATCCCTGTAGGCACAAACTTTCTCTTAGATGGACCCATCTGCGCGGTTATACCGTTTTATTCATTGCCCACCGGACCCATATCGACTACAAATTGCACGGACTTGCTCCGGACGAAAATAATATTGTTTCTTTGGCAAATATTTACCTTTCCCTTATTTGAGTGTCGTTTCAAAATGTAAGTGCGCGTGTTTAGAGTGCGAGTTAAAATTATCGACCAGATGGTTCTGTTTTCGGTTGTATGTTTTGGTAGAGAAGTTATGAATGCTCAGTGGTTTGGTATAGGTGCGTTTGTGATGATCATGTTACTGTTCAGAATCAACGGATGACTGATTTTGAGTCATTAGAATATGCGAATAATCTTTTGTCGGGGAAAAAAATCAGTTCCAGATTCTGGTGGTTAAATCAATAAGGGATGGTTTTACCAACGTCGGATAACTTTTAACTGAAGAATAAGTTTGGCACATTGACAGTTTCAGTATGAGAAATATGTCAAAATGGTACTGAAGATAACTTTTAACTGAAGTTTAAACAACTTCAGTTAAAAGTTATCCAACGATGGTAAAATCAGCAATTAGTAGTATAACATTTTGTATAAAACTATATTTTTCTCGTTGTCATCATTAACTGTCAAATAACCCTGTTTATGTCATCATCATTTTAGCCATAGGACGTCCACTGCAGAACGTAGGCCTCCCCTAATGATTTCCATGTTCCATTCCTGTTTATAGGTGCGCTTAAAGTAAAGAATATTTATATTGCACTTATTATAGATCTACCTACTTACATAAAAACTTCATGGATATTGGTCCATTGATATCTACAATACTCAAAAAATTGCCATCATGGTAACTTAGTTAAAAATGAAAAATCTAACTAGAACAATATTTTAAACCGACCCAAACTTTGACAGGCCATTCGTAGTATTGCATTACAGTACAGTCAGCCACAAATTGTATAATACAATTCTCAAATCAAGCAAACGAGATATGGGGACGAATGACTGTCATTATACTTAATTTAAATATTCCGGCTAACGGACGATTCGTATTACGGGTACAGTCGGCGGCAGAAGTGCTTTAAATGAAAAGTAGGCCAGGCAAGGGCTTTTAATGCAATTTTAATAGCGCTTGCATTTTTGTAAAATCTTCCTTCCATTTTTGTTTTTAAAAATAGCAAAATTTTGATTTGAGTAATTCAAGCTTTATGTACCTAATGGTGACGTTTTTCTCATTTTATTCTATTATGAAATAATGTTTGACGTAAAATCAACTTTAGATTAGCTAATTAGTGCTTTATAATCTCTGCGGAATAAAAACTAACCAGTCTTTCACTTATGATAAACTATTGAAATATACTATATTAACTTAATTTTAAAAGGTTAAACGCCACAACTTCAATCAAAATTAACTTATTTCATATTCGTCATAAGTTCGTCAAACTATCTTCATTGTGAACTGTAAATCAATATCTGCATTGAAAGCCTACTAGAATAAAATTAGAAATTGTACCGTTTCTTACAAAACCTCAAAAGTGTACCTCAACTGTAGAAAAATATGGTTTAATAACCATAAAACCACAATACGAAAAGTGAAAGGTGCCACTACACTTTTGTGGCCTACTGTACAAATTGCCTAAGAATAATTTTCTAGTAATTACGCTCGGCCTTCTGTCCTATACGAATTTATCTACGAGCCCGTGTCCATTTGTCTCCCGATTTTAAGTCGTTACTTTGTCGCTTAATTTTTACCACCACTTATGAATCAAGAAATATTGCACTGATCACATGTCACCCGCCACAGTGCCGAAATATCGGAGAATCGAAATTATGGTAACATGAGCTGTAACTTTAATAATCTTTAAAAATCTATTAAATTCCATACAAAAAACACCCAGTTACTGCTATGGTAACGGTTGAAGTAGGCTGGTGCAACTGAGCCCGAAAAACTAAGGACGAGAACTATTGCCGACAAACTGTAATGCAGTTTGGCAAGTGTATCTTTATATTTGATGTGTATCCTTTTGTGAACAATAAATAAAAAAAAAAAGATAGCAATCCCGTCAATAATAATTGATTCTGATTATAATGATTTTTAATTTGTTGGATTAGTTTTTTTTTTTAAATTAGGTATTTCCTTCGCCATTTTTAAAATCAATGACATCATCATGACTGACCAATACGACTTTCACCAGGCCAGCTAGTAATGGAACATTCATCAGCCTCCGTTGAAATACTGTCCCACCAATGCAAATGATAATATATTAATCTGCTTAAAAGTGTAATATGCTTGCAGTTACAGAGTAAGTATTAACGTTAAGGCTGAATTGCAACACTTTATTGGAACCGTAAAAATGACAATAAGTGCGTTTTGTATGGAGTTAGACATATTTTTGACGTTTGTCAAAGTTTATGTAGTGCAACTCATCCTAAGTTGTCATTATTGTCAAAGGCCTTTTCAAGAGCATAGAAGTTAAGAGAGTTTGCAGGAGCTGCTGAAAAAATATTATTCGATTTTTGTCTCTTTTCAATATCGGATAATGGACACGCGCTCTAAGTTGCCACTTATTCTGGCCCATCTGCATGTTGCACGTTATTATTCTGATTGATGATTTCACTTTGTCATTATGCTATCATTACTGGTATTAAAATAAAATTGCCATTTTATTTAGAGCTTATTTTTTGAAGATTCGATACTTTTGTTGCGCAATTATTACGCTGTTTTTTATTAGCTTTTGTGCTATTTTTAAAAACAGATTTGTCTAGATCAATGAAACCCCTGATTTGTATCATTGCAGTCAGTTTATTTATTGGCCACTAGGATCAAAATTATGCCTCTCTAATTCAATAGGTCAAAGACAGTACAATAATCACCCGTCCATGTATTTAAAGGTTTTCGACCTGCGTTTCACTTGATAGAAGATGATGATCAGGTAAGAGAGAGCTTCATGTGAACCTTTAATAATAGGAACTGGCTATCTTACCTTCCACTCGAATTTACTCATATTTGGACCTACCTAGTTGCTATAATATTTCTTACTATAATCTAAATAAAATATTATTTTATATTTCTTTTTACAGGATTCGTTTTCTGGATCCTAACAATATTCGACACCGCATTTTCTCACAATTCAAGAGTGTCTGACCACGCCAAACGGCTAGACATTTGAACCCAGACACCATATAAAGAAAGAACATTAAGCGTGTGGTTTGCCCATATTCATGATAACCATACCCGCTGTATTGTAAATATGGTGGTCACAAGGTGGTTCCTGGCTTAATGCCAATTGTATGAACGAGCAAATCTAACTTAACACTGTGGAATCTTATCCCGTTGAAATAAGATCGATTTTGCAACTAAAATGTAGAGTGTTCTCCTCCAATAGTACATTTAAAAATATCCGAAGTCAAGACCGAGGTAATCGGTAGTGTTGTTTTGTATGTTAATGCTGTATTTGTATGACAAGTAAGAAGGATTCATCGTTTAAATTAAATGTTTTACGTGAGCATACAGGGTGTTCTGACTGGGCTATGCAAAAAGTGCCAAAAGGAAAAAAATATCCTGGAACACTTTTATTGTGCCATCTAATTCTAAGCTAAGCTTGTTATATGGGAAGTATGGGAACCGGACAACAGACCAAAAAACCAAAATCTGGAGGTTTATTTCTAGGTCAACATTATTTAGGATTCCTAAGTGCCCGATACCTGAATTGCCCCACCAGTAGACATCAAAAGGCAACCGTTTTTGACTGATCTATCAACACAGCTAAAACCATTGAATGGATTGTGATGAAAGCTACACAGATATTTATTATGACGTCTATACATCCATATAAAAGGGTTTTCCCAAAATTCACCCCTTAGTAAGATAAATGAAACGGGGGTCGTTGAAAGATATTATAGACTACGCGAGGAAAGCCGCGGACAAAAATCTAGTTACATTATATTGCAATTTAAGAACCACTTTCAATCGTAAATATTGTATAAATACATTTAATTTTATGCAAAACGTAAATAGAGAAAATCTCAATTCGCACTAAACCAAAACATCTCGAACGTTGCATGCGCGCGCGCCGGTTCACTGACCCGCGCATTCGGTCAAGGTTCGCGGCTTCCCCGCTCCGCCGCCAGATGGCACTGCTCTATTGGTTTGTTTACGATGTTCTGGTGATTCGGTGAACTTCGCAATTGGAGTGTGTGGACAGATAACATCGATGGATCTACTTCGTTTAATGTTTTCTATACTGTATTATTCTATTTTGTTGCTTTTTGTTATTTGAAAGATAATAATATGGATATACTCAGATATAGGTGGAATTGGCCTAATTAAAACGTTATTATAACATAGGAGCTGCTCATTTAAAGTTGTGTTTAGATTAATCATCATCATCAATTTATTGATATCATTGATAACACCAACCGGCCATTGTGGAAATCATTGGGGGAGGCCTATGTTCAGCAATTATGGACGTCCTGTGGCTCTGTGGCTGAAATGATGATGATGATTGATAGCACCCATCCTATAGAAAAAGTTCATATTTATGCAGTTNCCACAGTGGCCTCTCAAAGGGAACGCACATTTAATGTGGTACGCAGCTAATCCTTTTATTCTTAAAAAGATAGGTAATCGAAATTCAATTTAAAAATACCTATATTCCGTACTGCTGTAGTTCAAAGACCATTTGCCTTTCAGTTTAGTTTTGAATTCCTGGATTAATCCACTTTGCATTATACTTTTTTTGTCGACCGTTTGGTGTAGTGGTTCGAAACGGACTACTACGCAGAGGTCCCGGGTTCGAATACCGGCCGGGCAGAAATTGAAATGATTAATCTGGGTGTGTGTTACTAAGTATGTAAAAACTATTTGTGGCTAGATGGCGCTGTATGAAATAGTCCAAAGATCTTTTTATTTATTTAATATTTTTCAGAGTCTATTGCCGCTTCTGAAACAAGCGGCTGAGGCGAACAGCGACAAGCCATTGGGCGCGACGCGAGCCGCCGTCATCAACATGAGCTCGGTGCTGGGCTCTATCGCGCAAAATGACCAAGGCGGCTTCTATCCCTACAGATGTTCAAAGGTAAACTAAAATATTCGCAAATATGTGTGCATGTCCGTGACACAATGTCCCAAAGTTATAGGTACAAAACTTTATGAACCCAAATCCATACTTAACCCATGCGTTCATCCATGTCGAAGGAAGTCACCCTATACGAGGTATTATAATTATGCGCTGCATTGCTAACAAGCGTTAATTTTCACAGGCAGCTCTCAACGCGGCAACAAAATCCATGAGCATAGACCTAAAGAAAGAAGCGATACTGGTGGCTTCCATGCACCCCGGATGGGTGAAGACCGATATGGGTGGCAAGAACGCGCCGCTAGATGTCGACTCTGCCGTCAGCGGAATATTCGCCACGATCGAGAAGTTGGGCGAAGCGGACACGGGGAAGTTTGTGCAGTACGACGGAACTGAACTGCCTTGGTAGTTTAGAGCACAAAATGTAGCGGCGAATCCAGCTTATTATTCTTGTACCAAAAATATTTTTATACTAATTAGCACAAGCAAAATATTTAAAAAGTTCAACTTAAGTAAAATCAAATAAGCATTTAGGTGTCGCAAATAAAGGGATGATTTTTTAATGGCTTTTGTTGTCATTTTTGTCAACCTAAACTTCCACATTCAAGTAGGTAGGTAGAGGTGCTTAAATACCTAAGGGACCTAACCTACCCCACCTTGTGACAGGGTTCTGTTGTTATTCATAATGGTGTGGTGTATTGACGAAACCTATACCCCTACTCCTAGAAAAATACTTGCCTTCCAACTTCTTACTAATTTAAACTTACCTTCCCAAGTGCGAATGGGGCATTCTTTTACAGTAGACATAGACCTCATTTTACCCGAACTAGGAACACCTAAAATAAAACGTTAAGATATTATAAAGCACCAGATTTAAAGTTTTGTTTCTTTTTCCTTCTCTAATGGTGCAACTGCTGGATTGTATGGGATGAATGTCAGAAGTGAGTAACCAGTTCCTGGCCAGGATCGCAAGAGAAAGTATTTTGTATTGTACCTACAGATTTATAACGAACTTCTTAGCTTACCTTATGTGAGGGGAGCTACTGTGAGAGCACGCGGTTCGATAAAATTTAACTTGATTGGACTTACCTCCGAATTTACTGCAGGCATTCTTATCCAAACATAATGTCGATAAATCCATCTTAAGTACACAAGTCAAGACACCTTACAACCGGAAATTCATTCCAGGAGAAAAACTGCTAAAAGCTGGAAATCTACAAAACTATTTTAATGCTACAGTCACATTAATTAATAAAATTCATTCGGTTTGTTTTGACAAATAAAATGGCATTATTTATGTCAAAATGATTTTTAAAATGTAGATAATATTGGTAGCCACAAATTCGCATAATATTTAAGCAACTCTTTTCTCAGTTTCAAGAAATGTGCTCGATTGATATTTAAATTATAGCCCGACCAGGAACATAAAAACCCTCGCCATGTTGCGGAAAACTAATGGTACTAATTTCTTTTAATGGCAACAGTAACTGAAAACTTCATTGACATGTCACCTTGCATGTCAGTCTATTGCTGTCAAAGTGTAAACAAACTTTATTTTAAATGTGCGCAATTGATTTTGTGAATTAAATTGCTAAAATATTTTTATAGCCGTGAAAGAAAAGTGGTTCACAATGTGTTAAAGTATTTGTCGAAGAGAAATACTAAGGGTTCGGACAATATTTTCATTGAATAATGTTTCCGACAAAGGTTGTCAAATTGACTGACATGTTTATCGTATAGTACAGTCCAGTATGAAAATTAGCTGTGGTTTGTTTCAACTACCTATTTTAAATTTTTTTGTCACTTTCTAAGTGTTGAATTTTATGGAATTGGGAAAGAAGTACCGAGTTTGTAGCGTTCATGAGCAGACATTGCAGTTGAATATTCAAGTTCTGAATTTTATTATTCATGATTAATAAAATAAATCCTACTAGCTCGATTGATGGTTTCATTTAATTTATTTAAACCAGGTTACCTATAATAATATTTTTTCGTTAATTTATGAAAATATCAAATTAGCCCGTAATCCTGAATCCTGATACATAAAGTTAGCCAATTAATTTAACACAGGTACGACTGTACTCAGTGTTGCACTATCAAATGCAATTGTCGCGCCTCTATGCCAGGGTTTTTATGTTCCTGGTCAGGCTATATACTTAAACATACATGTATGATATTTACATTAAGTAGGCAGTGTCGTGAATTGCACAATTTGAACCAGAAAATGAGTGAAATGCGAAGATAAATTATCATAAGCAGGTAACCAAGTCGTGCGTCATAGCCCCTTGCATTAGCAAGTCTCATTTGATGCAAAATGTTGTTTGGCTTTTGCGAAATGCACATTATGAGAATGAGAAGTGCCTCCTCCTGCACCTACCTATTGCGATAATAACTTTTAAGTCTACTACTCATTTTGAGACTATGAATCTAGATCCAGGTAATAATTATTTAGGGACCTACCTACCTACATTTTAAACTGTGTATTGTGTAACATGCGAGTTTCAAATGCATTCTGAATTTGGAAGAAAATTAAATAAGTTTTCAGTGCAGTTTCAACTTTCAATCAAAACAATATTTTGACTGAAGAGACAGTTAAGGAGTCTGGGTTTAGAAATAAAATTTCTATACTGGTATCAAAAATCGGATTTATATTTCCGTTTTGCTGTAGTAGGTTAATGTTGTAACAATTTGCCAGGTTACAGAATTGGCCAAACAGCCGGTACGAAGCATAACATGTACTTTTTATAACAATGATACATTTCTTCAGACCTACTAGCCTAAATCTTACACAAACTACCTACAAAGATATACATGTAAAGCTATTATATCTACAATCATCAATAAGTTATATACAGATAACAATACAGCAAAGATATTTACATACACGTTATTTTCAATTAGACTTATCTGTAACCTGAAAAACTTTGATTTTTCCTACACTCAGGGCAGTACCATTTTCCTTTAGGTGGTACCATAATACCAACACACTCGAAATGAAACCATTCTATTGGACAGCCTTCCGCATCACAAGCAATCATTTCAGACACCTCGTCATACGGGCAGCGGCAATAACAGTAGACGCTCTCCCCTTCGCGAGCCTGCCGCACAGCGGGTCTTTGGAAAGCGTAAGGTAAGCTCGAAGTTCCTGAATTCAAATAAGTCGGAGGTGGAATTGGTGCGCTGCTTTGCGGAGTTTGTGGTTGATATATTTCTAAATTGCCTTCACTAGAGTCAGAATCGCTCGACTCCATAGACTCTGTATTCATTAGAATACGAGGCGGTTCAGGATCAGGGATTGGAGTAGTTAGCCTGATTGGTTCAGAATAATTATACAATCTTTGCGGTATGACTGTAGATGGTATTTCTCTCTTTGCTTTATGAGTGACGGGAGATGGTAAATCTTCTTTCCTCCACTCTAGCTTTGGTGGGAGTTGTGGTTTCAGTGCAGCCATTGCTGGTGAAGGTGATTCTTCATCACTGGAGTATCCATAAAACTTATTGCGCACTCTTCGCCTTTTTGAAGCTCTCTTACTTTCAGCAGATGTTGTCGGAGTATCAGTTATGGTAGCCGGTGCTGTTGATGCAGTTGGTATTTCTGGCATTTGCACTGTGTTAGAATGTAAAGATATGGTAATTTTATTGGGAACTAAAGGTGGTGGAGGAATTTCTGGCTCAACCTTGGCAATAATATCTTTAGGAATGTTAAGTTTAATTGGACCATGTCTTTTCGAACTCTTGGATTTCTTCTTCTTTTTGCTTTTCTTCTTACTGCTGCTAGGTTTTTCTTTCTCTACAACTTCTATCTTAGGTTCTTCTTCCTTGACAGGAGGAGGAGTGTTAGGACGACTGGCTTCTCCCGAAACAGAACCGCCTTCTGACGGCGCAACAGACGCTAGCAGCATTAACTGATTACGTTTTTCTGCATGTAATTTATTTGCTATTTGTTGAGGATGTTGGTCATAAAATTCTTCATCCGTTTCACTTTCGTCTGTTTCTAAGTCTGTTTCAGCAATAGGAGGTTCCACCTTCTCTGGGATTAGAATAGGGGTCTCAGACATACCCATGACATCAACATTTGAACCATTGCTTATTCTTCTGTTGGGCAACATTTTTCGTAACTGTTTTTTCTTTTTTCTTTCATTACTAGGATCCTTCTTTTCATTTAGTGAATCGTCAGAAGAATCTGAGTCTGATGAGCTAGATGATGAAGATCCACTACTGGAGGAGCAACTACAATTTGAACCACAGGAACAACTGGAATCACTGTCACTACTACTACTACTCGACGACGACAAGTCACCATGCTTTTTCTTTGGTGATTTTTTGTTTTTCTTTTTATCTATGCTAAATGTATCTTCATCTCCATTTAAATCTGTAGGAATCAAGCAGTAGTCATGGTCTGATTCACAGACATGTTTTCGGATTGGAACTAATGGTGGTGTTTTCTCTTTTTGTTTCTCCACCTTAGCTTGGTATTTCTTGAAGTTATCCCAAATATCTAAAACTTGTTGCTCGTTTGGTTTGTCTTCTTCTGCAGGTTCAGATTTTTGTTCTGTTTTCGGAAGAAGTCCATCTGTATTATCTACATTTTGACCAGATGCTGTTAACTCTTCTTGTTTTATGTCACTAGTAGCTTCTTCTTTTTTAGGCGGTGGCAAACCGCTATCAGATTCGTCACTACTGTCACTTTCAGATAGATCTAATGCTGGCAAATTGACGTCTAAAAGTAACGCATCTTTTTCTTTTGATTTCTTTTTCTTTCCCTTTTTTGATAGATTTTCAGTTCCCGCTTCAGCATTTACTTCTGATACAGCTGCGTCATCTTTTGGTTTGTCATCAATCAAATCTATAACTGGAATAGCTTCTTTGGATTCTTCCAGTGGTTTTTCGTCAGAAAGAGATGGCTTTTCTTCATTTAAATCCTCTGTAATAAGTTTCTTCCTGTGCTCATCAATGTGTTTGGCTAACAGTTTTTTCGAGACAAACTTTTCAGTACAACCTTCTTCTGTGCATTCATGTGGATACTCTCCAGAATGAAATCGTCTATGAACTTTTAAGCAGACTGCTTTTGTAAATTGTAAACTACATTCTTCACATACAAATGTAGCAGGTGGAGTACAAAAATGATAGACATGAGGCCATTTCTTTTGAAGACATTTTTTACAGAGAACACTTTCAGTGCCATGTTTCCAAAAAAGGTGGTTGTTGATGTCAAGTTTGTTTCTATAAGCAATACCGCATCGATAACACAAATGATGCAATTTATGTTTCCAAACATGGTTTGACAGTCGTGCTTGACTATGACAAAATTCTAAACAAACATCACATGTGTGGTGCATTTTTCTAAGGTGGACCATTAACCTAAATGAAGATGGTATTGAGTCTACATTGCACAAACAGCATCTAAACTTAATTTCATACTCAGAATCATATGTTCCAGGACACAAATGACACAATAATTCACTATAACTATAGAAATTAGATTTACACATTACACATAATAAAATAGTTTTTTGATGCATTTTACGGTTGTGTAAATAGAGATCTTTATGAATAGCAGTTTTGAAGTAACATTGAAAACATTCAAACAGATGGTCATACTGCGCATCTTCACATTTATCAACACTATCATAGGAATTAAGATTAATAAACACAGAGTTTAACTCTATAGCGCCAGCCTTTAGCTTAGCAGTAATAGTCTCTGGCATTAGTTCTTCTGCTGTGATGCTGTCCACAGTTGCAGCAAATCGATGCTGTGCAACCATATGCAAGGACAAATGTTCACAATTTACAGCTATCTTACGGGCATGATTACAATAAATACAATTATATGCTGTAGATGCCAAAAATACTTTCAACAGATCCTTCAAAGGGTACTTATCTAAAGGTTTGTCTAGTGATAATTCTGTGACAGGTATTTCTGGTTCTTCAATTTTGGGTTCAACAGTAGTGTCCAGTTCCTCAGCTTCAGTCTTAGGTTCTGTTTTGGCAATCACATTGTCTTCAGGCAAGTCGGGTTTATCCTCCACCTCTACATGTGGCTCGTCTTGTGCTACCTCCATGGGCTGCTCCGGCTCCTGTGGCGGCAGCTGTGCCTCCTGAAGGCTCTTCTTTTCTTCATCTATTGTAATATTATTCTCATCAACAGTCAACTTGTCACTAACATCACTAT